GTTTTATTTCTCCTCACATTTTATTCTCTGTCTTTTCTGTTCCTTGACTCAAAGTCACTGGTGCACTCCAGTTTGCCATGATGCGTAAATGCCAAACCAATTTTTTTGCCATCTGTGCAAAATTGTCGTGACCAGCTTTCCCCACTCCACTCTCTTACTCACACACATGTTGGTTTTAACCTTAACTCCTCCTGGGCTTGATGTTCATTGGTAAAAGACACACATCTGAATCTAAAGTGTTCCCCAAGAATGGATCTGATTTTCTCTGAATGATTTTTCTATAGTAGTGTGTATTGATCCATGAACGTGTGACATTTAGTTATAATAGATGGAGCATAACACTAACAAGACAGCAGGGAGTATTGGATCGGACGGCCAATCACAGAGCCTCGTCAAACGAGGGAGTGCTTGACATGACACTTACCCTAACACAAATAAACACAAATCCTCCTCGGAGAAGTTTAATTCAGTTCTAAAAAAAAAAAAAAAAAGCTGGTACACTTACTCTAACACAAATAAACACAAATCCTCCTCTGAATGTTCTTAGATTTATGGCCATTTATTTTATTCCTTGTTTCTTCTTCTTCTCATTCGTATCTTCTCACCATCTTCTTCTTCTTCTTCTTCTTCTTCTTCTTCTTCTTTGAGCCATGAACCGTGCTTCCCTTCATTGAACAGATGAATGACCCCCTCTGGCTGCTGAGTTTTAGACAAGCTATTGACTTCAGCATCATGAGCCCAGTAATTGAACCACGGTAGACTGGTGGCTGTATGACAGATCGACGTATCACTAGCCCCTCAATTAAGCTGACTGATGGGTTCCAGGGTAATAGGGAGGTGGTTGTAGATAATAACTTCCTTTTTGTTTGTGGCTGTAGCACCTAGTAGTACACTAGGCTCCGATGATGGAAAACAGGTCATTTTTAATGTTTTCAGGTGACAAATATTGTGTGATATACTGAATATATATACATATGTAGTACACACACATATGTAGTACACACACACACACGTTTTTTTTAAACTTTTTTTTTAAGTAAAATAAATGACTCTGAGTCATGATAAATAATGCAGAGCTAACCCCCAGTAGAGAGTTCCTACTGCAGATATTTCTCCTTGTGCTGCTGTTGATAACAATTGTTAAAACTACATCTAACACACACACACACACACACACGCCAAGGTGTTTAATTGGTTTTAGCTCCTCTAACTGTAAAGGTCATGTCATTGACAGTATTTTCTCACCCTGGTAATTATCAGTGAACATTACTTCCTTGCTCAGACCAGTATAATTTACTCAACTTTAAACCAAATCAAACCAGTTTACCTCAACCATGGTACGAAAACCTGCCTCTGCATTTCTTTCAGCACCTGCTGGGGGCGTTGTGCGAGTTTTATATACTGATGTTACTGTCTATCCCTCTGATTAAGATGAAGTGCGTTTCCCTCAAATGATGTATTGTACAGTGTCCGTGGTTGCCAGCAGCAAGACTCCTGTTATTGACCCATTAATTATTAGTCCATCAACTTATGTAGTGCAACACATTCACCATCCGCAGTCCAATTGTTGTCCGCAGTGTCATTTATCATTTTAGTGGAACATCAATAGCACTTAACCACCACTCTTTTCACCTACGAAGGAAATGGATTACTGAGAAAATGAAGACGGTGGGTAATATAGAGATTAATCTGGTGACAACGTACACAGCTGTGTTGTAAAGTGGTTTCTAGAAAAATATGCCAAAAAATTAAATTACTCACTGACCAGTCTCTCATTAACTTCCTCCATCAAAACCTCAGCTCTTCAATAATAATCTGAACTTTATTGATTCCCAATAGAGGATTTGTTGGGAAATTGTTGTGTTAACAGCAGATCTCCTGCAACAGGCTGCCCCCTGGAGGCTGGTCCAGTCTGGTAAAGTGGATGTTTATTCAGACAGCTTCCAGGCAACTATGATGACACCCATAAATCCTGCCCTGGATACCCCCTGCACCCCTTTTTATTTAACCTATACTTTCTCCCTGTTATGCTTTCTGAAATTCCCCTTTAAGGGCAAAAACCTGCAAAAGATTTCCTTGTGACTTGAATGCAAAAGTAGCTCTTGAAAACGTGGGCATATAAATAATTAAGCGACGCCTTTGAATTTACAACCGCAGTCAGAGACCACCTACAGCTGAGGATTGGACAGATTAAAAAATGTCAAAAGGAATCTGAGAAATGTCAAGTCAGCAGAAGTGTGAAAGATGTGTGCTGATCCAAAAGAAAAAATGTGTTCAAAGAAACAAGGAACTTTTTAGGAGTCTGTATGCTGCTGTTTGGGTATTTGAATAAAGCTACATCATCCACTGACAAAATCTTAGAACTGACTGGTTATCAAAGTAATTCACTAGCTTTTTTTTAATCTTGATTTTGTTTTGGAAAAAAAAATAAAAATGCAATAAAACCTAAATCTGTGGTTTTACATCTTTACAGATTAAAAGTCTTTTTCGAAAGCCCATATCAGATCCTTGCTGATGCTGTAAGCTGATGTTTTCAGGCATAGATAAATTGGACGCTCTGTTGAAGAGGCACATAACCAACTGTGCCCGTGTGTCACCTTATGTCCTCTTTCACATGTTGCTGCTCTCAACTTTGCACATGATAGATTGTCTCTGCCACAGGGAGCTGTTCTCTCCCACCTCATCACATGTACAGATTGGTCACTATTGACCGGTAAACACTCCGTGTTCAGCCGGTGATTCTGATTGATTTTTGTGGCCAAGCACTGATGGTTTTCCACTTTGTCCTATCTTTGGTTTAACACTGTGAAACAGTTTTCCCATAGGAATCCATGTAAAATCCGTCCCCGGATGATTGCTTATTCAAACTTTTTTAACAGTATTTTGTTCGTGAAGCGAATTGTTGGAAAAGAGAGGCGTTCAACAACCGAGGCTCCACTGTTTTCGCTTTCTAATAAGACACTCTTTTTCACCACTGTTTGAAGTCTGTTTCTGATGGTGTTCTTCTGTGTGACTCCAGGGGGTGACATACTGTGGAGAAAGCTCAGCCAGCAGTCTGACCATGGCTAACGTCCCCTGGCACCAGGAGGTGGTCTCCTTCGTTCAGCAGCTGGCCGACATGTTGCCTCAGTATGAGATTGCCTGTGAGCACGAGCACTCCAACTGCTTACTCATTGCACACACAAAGGTAAGGATTGTACAGCATTGACAAACACATATGAAGAATTTGAACTAATACGTACACATCTGGATTTAGCTGCTGAACAGCTCAATCGGAGGAGTTCATTGGCTGATGCAGTTTGTTATTTCTGTTCTGTGTCACGGGTGAACCAAAACAGTGGCTACACTGCATTAGCGCACCTTCACACATAACAATGAGAAATGTGTTGGTGCTGATCCTCACTGCATCTGTCGTGCTGTTGTTTACAGACATACAGTACACAAGGCAAAGTAGCTCAGCTCATAAACTCACCCCAGGCCATTTGTTTAAATTATTTATGTTTTATTTGTCATGTGGGTGGCTGTGTGCATGTTTTGCATCTTTGTATGCATTGATCAAAATATGTCACCACTGTAGTTCACTCTGGCCTCGGAGCCTCGGTCAGTGCTCGTTTTAGCCAAAACGACTCTGTCATTAACAAACTAATGACTAATTACATGAGCAACAAACAAACATGTTCGTAGTATTCTGTGTTGTTCAGAAGTAAGTATAACTGAAGATACTTCACATGAACTCCTTCTGTCTGCACTTGCTCTGTGGGCATAAAACACATTTGAGTGCAGAGACGACAACATCCAAATAATCAAAATCTCTCGCTCTTTGTAATAAAGGAAGTGAATCCTCTGCTTCATAATTTGCTGCTGGACAAAAAATATCCGACAAAATGTTTCTACGACCTACATTCTCTCCTCTCCTCTCACTTTATATTTCAAACAGGGATAAATCAAAGATCACTTTTCTACATTTTTTTTCATGTTTTTTTGTACGTTGAATGTATTTCTGTAAAAGTAAATGATGTTCATTCTGCCCTGGTCGTGAGTTAATCACACAGCTCTGTTTCCCACAGATAAACTGAATGACAAATTCTATTATTGTTGTCTTTATCTTCACAAACACACACTCCATCCCCTCAGATTAAAAGGTATGAAGATCCTCCTCACAGAACGATTCCTCTCTGCTCCTCCTGTTCATGTAAATATTTCCTTTTTACGTTTTTCACTGCTCACGTCTTCCTTTCTCTGCCACGTTTTTTACAATCATCGTAAAAACATCATCATCATCATCATCAGTACAATCATCGTAAAAACCTCATCATCATCAGCAGCAGCCTCATCTACTGTACACAACTATAACTGTGGTTGTCTGTGTAACTGCTGCAGACAGAGTTGGATTCATTCATTTACACGTCCACGCCCACGTCCCTAATAAACACGTGCTGTTCAGAGGCAGGAACTACACACTGCAGCTTCTAACTGACAGCAT